TAGCACCGCCGTATACACCTTATACAAAGTCGGCATTATTGACACTCCCTTATCTTCTCCTCTGTTCCTTTTTCCTTACAGGCACCACCACTCCTTCCTTCCATTCCTCTGGCCACCCCCCCCCCCCCACCAAACACACCTTCCAGACCCATTCCTCCATCCCCTCTCCCCCATATTTCCATACCTCAATCGGAATCCCATCTATCCCCATTGCCTTACCGTCTTTCAAATTTCTCGTCACCTCCTTATCTCCTTCCTACTTAGCTCCCTTTCCCTCCCCTGTCTTCTCCTTTCATTTTTTCCCCTTACCACTCTTCCCTCCCGCCCCGCAACAACTCTTTGAAATATTCCTCCCATTCTTTCATCTCTATCCCCTTATATATCCCCTTCCATCTCTTCCTTTCCCCATTTATTATTTCCCACACCTGCTTCTCACTTCTCGCCCCTCCACTTTCCTTTCCTATCTCTCTTTTTTGCCTCGCATATAACTCCTTATATTCCCTTTTCTCTTTCCTGTACTCCGTTCCCTCCCCCTTACCTTTGCTCCACTCCCTTAGTACTCTTCTCACCCCCTTCTTCTTCTCTCTACACTCTCTATCCCACCATTCCCTTACCTTCCTTTCTTTCCTTCTCTATAACTCCCAAGATCTCCCTTATTCTTCCTCCAGTTTCTTTCATGCACTCCATCCACTCCACCCCCTTCCCCTCAATTGGCATTTTACATATTCCAAGAAATTATTTTTATTTACATATTACAAATTTACAAACGTGTGGACTTTATAACTATCATAGTTAGTCTCAAAATTACTCATTATAATAATTGTAATTTTACACAAAAATTTTTTACAACTGTTCAATTCGAAGGGGCACATATTATGATTAGCAAAAAATTATTTTCAAAGTCAATTTTTTGAAATTTTATGGTCACCTCCACTTTTTTTAATGGAATTGTATGATTTTTTATATAATGTAATTCTTCTAATTATTCTGGATATATGGTAAAGGGGAGACCGGGGACAAAAAGTAACATTTGACTTTGAAGTGTTATAACAGTTAAAATATAATATTTACATTTAAAAAATATGTATCTTTAGATGTAGTATTTATTTAGCAAAATTTTCTTTGGTTTAATTTCTTTATGTTTATTTTTTATATGTTATTGTTTGTATTTTTGTTTATATTTTTTAACTAGAAAAAAAGTTATGTTTGTTTAAAGACTATTAGGAATTTTATTACCCAACTACGTGAACGATTGTAAAAGTAGAGGAGGATAATTGTACCACATTTGCCAGAGGTACATAATACAACTACATAAGCCATACTTTCTCTTGCAGCTGCATGAATGGATAACTGGTCCTTTATGATCTCTTTGAATGTCTGTTTGTATAAAGATACTTCTTTTATATAATTTTTTTAATGTCTTGCATTTTCTTGTTAACAGCATTCTAGGAAGAAAAATACAAATAACATTGTACAAAATAATAATAAAATCAAATCAAATAAGTTCGGGGACAATTGTAACGTTACAACTAACCTCAGACATCGATGTTACTATTGTCCCCTAATGATATTTTATGATTTATAATAAATTTTTTAAGTAAAAACTTAGATAAAAATCAACTCAAATGTACAAACCATCAACGCAGATAACACAGGCCGACAAGATTTTGACCCAGAAACCAGAATATACTTTTCCGAAGGTTTTTGGTGCGCTGAATCCGAATCTGAGGTCCAAATCTCTCAATTGGCTCTGGTTTTCGAGATATCCTAACCTAAAAGTGCAAAAACAGCGATTTTGGCCTATATTTGAGGTTATGTAGCATCTGATTTTTTCTTTTACTCAAAAAACTATAAACACCATCTTAAAGTATAAGCCTTGCCCTTTCAAATGCCGTTGAGTTTGTTTAAATATCTCTTTTTTTCGCTGAGATATCGTATTTTGAAATTTTTATGTTGTGATTTTGAAACAACCTGACTTTGCGCGGACGTAGCTCGTCGGTCACGGGCTGCGGCCAGAGTCGCAAAGAGGTTCGGCCAGGAGGAGAGAGACAAGGCGGTAATATTGCAATGAAACGCGGCTTGGATCGATGGAAAAGAAAGATATATATTTGATGTATTTATGTACAGAGTATGAATGCGTGTATGTGTATGTGTATGTGTGTCGTGTTTACAAAGGCGGTGTCGTTGTGCGTGTACGGTGTGTGTGTGTAATGCGAGTGTGTATGTGCGGCGGGCACGATTCGCCGTGCGAATCGTGGTCGCGTGCTTCGCTCGGTGACGCGCGGTGAACGGGACGCGGGCTTACACCAGGAACACGTGCAATACGCGACGCGTCGCAAGGCGAGGAGCGATACGGCGCTCCGAAAGGTGCGCTTTCTGCGTGCACGCGTGATACGGCACGACTCCGACTGTCGGAAGCGTCCGACGGAGGCGGGCAAATGCCTACCCCCTGGTTCTCGTCGAAGCCGGTCACGTATCACGGGTATGCGGAACTCTCGGCTCGGTCGCCTCTTTGCAAGGATCTCGGAGCGGTCGTTGCAGCTGGTCGGGAACGGCCGACAGAGGCAGGGCGAGCCCTACCGCCGCGGTGCAGCGAGACGGTTCGAGGAGCCTGCTAGGAGCGGTGAGTCGGAGAGCGGAGCTGAATGCAATAACTGACCGATAAATGCCGGTAGTGTCAGAGAGCACCCTTACCACCGCTGTATTGCCTAGGAGATCGGAGTTAGGAATCGGTCGATGCCAGGAAGCGGATCAGGAGCAAAAAGCCAGGATTATTCTCTCGCCGCGTTTTTATACTAAATGTTGCTCCCGCTCGTATTGTTCCGGAATCATTCGGTGACTCTCGGCGTGGAACAATACGAGCGAGAGCTGCGGCGCTCGGCGTCGTTCGGCGACGTTCGGGTTTCGCGGACTTGCGAGTTCACGCGGCCTGAACTGGTGCTTGCGTACTTTACATTATTTCGAGCGCACCGCGCTCTCATCGCGTACGGTGACCGGGGGGTCACCGTAGTGGCATCCGGCGAGTTGGCATTGCCGGGAACGATGCAGTTATGGGGGTGCATCGTTACATCTGTTGTCATAATAAAGTTGTGGAGACAGATTAATGCTTTGACTAAATGATCAGCATTTTCTGATTTTACCTATACCTGAAAACCTATTACGGATAAGTATATATATCACTAAATTGGATTTTGTTATTGGGAAACACTGAAAATATTTGATAATTATCATTATATCATTATATTGATATATAATTATCATTATATTGATAAATATTTGATAATTAGTTTCCCAATAATAAAATCCAATTTAGTGATATATACTTATCCGTAATAGGTTTTCAGGTATAGGTAAAATCACAAACATAAAAATTTCAAAATACGAACCTACAAATGCATATTCTGTTGCTATTGATGTACCAGGCAATTCTTTCTTTGGAGGCACATCAAGCAAACCACTATGAAGAAGCTGACCTATGTCCGAGTGTGCCCAAACTCCACTGTCACTAATACTACCGAATTGTCCTACATCTATCACTTACTACGTTTACACGGCACGCTTTACGCCGAAGTTATAACATCGATGTTATGAAACTGGACTACATAACCTCAAATATAGACCAAAATCGCTGTTTTTGCACTTTTAGGTTAGAATATCTCGAAAACCGGAGCCAATTGAGAGATTTTGACCTCGGATTCGGATTCTGCGCACCGAAAATCTTCGGAAAAGTATATTCTGGTTTCTGGGTCAGAGAGTCGACCTGATTTTGTCGGCCAGTGTAATCATTAAAACATATTAAGATAATAATTATATCTTTGTTATTATAAAGAAAAAAAATATTTTAAATTTTGTGCACGCAATAAAGATTACTTGATGCATGGAGAAAGTAATTTCTGCTTCTGCACTCGTGCACGTTCCGCGATAACAGTATGTAACGAACGATTCAATGCCGATCTGTCTGCAAAATCATACCATGCAGCCGCATACACATATCTATTATAGTTTAAGAAATATTAAGGATGTTACTATTATCTCCTTGTTACTTTGGTCCCCGGTCTCCCCTATTAAGGCCTTATACCACTGTAGAATTTTCAAAAAATAAAAAAATTTTTTTTGCTTAATCGATACTTTAACATGTCAAGAATACGATGAGCATAGTTTCATAACGGCAAAATTGTTTAAAATATACGTTTAAATACTTGAAGTCAAGAAAGTCACATTGTATCAAAACTCACGAAATTACATATTTCACGCGCTTCTAATTTTCACTGTCCTGATAAATATGAGACCTCTATTTTACCTTCGTGCTTTTGAAAGTAGATAATAGGGGGAGCTACTAGCATTCTTAAACATCAATAGGTTAGAAAACCGGTATAACTTCATAGTCTATAGTATTCAGTACGTTGAACGCTTGTCGACG